AAGTGTCATTGCATTTGAATGCTTTTGTTAGCCTGGCCAGTTGAAGCCACTAGATGCGGCGCTGCTACGTTGTTCATCCAATATATAGCGGAAAACGAGAGCATCAGTGTGGAGATGATGTTATTTACAGCGAAACTGAAACCAAGCCGTTCACACAGAACGCATATTTATCACATTTTCTAGAGGGATGTCTATCACCGCTGCACTCGCGTCTCGCACAAGAGAGCGGCATGTTTAGAAAGCCATGTAAAATTAATGCAAGTTCAACTTTTAAAAAAACATGTCTAAAGACTTTAAGGCGGTTTCCCCCCATCTCACTATATCTCATGTTTTTAAATGAAGACAGTAGCCGACTCTTTGTGATTGCTTTTCGGTCCTTTGTATTAAACTATACATGCATGCATGGTGCTGGTTTTTTTTCTAATTGTTTAAGCAACTTTATTAATTATATATGGTTTATAAACATTATTTTAAACATTATGCACTTTTTGTGTTCTGGTGTGAATCAGGAGAGAAATCTGCACAGATCAAGCAGCGTTTAAACAGCTCTAAACACATATGTGGCTGGATTGTGATCAGAGAGACAACAGGAGACGCACTTTTTCACTGCAGGAAGAGTTATTATGGATTATGGACTCTGTGGTATTTTAGTTAAAAACGTCTTAATGCTGGATTAGTTTCAGCTTTTGTCTTCTCCAGATGTTCACTGATGGACTGGAGTGCTGTGGATTATTGTGATGTTTTTATCAGACTCTTGTTCTGACGGCACCCATTCACTGCAGAGCATCCATTGCTGAGGCACTGATACAATGCTACATTTCTACAAACCTGATGAAGAAACAAACTCATCTACATCTGGGATGGCCTGAGGGTGAGCACATTTTCAGCATTTTTGGGCAAATTTTCATTTATGTTAGTTAATATTATTTAATGCATGTTAAACGAACACTGTAGTATATTTATACATTAACAGTGACCTAGATTCATAAATGCTGTACTAAACTGTTAGTTGAGGATGAAAACAGTCTATTTGCCGGGTAAATATTGACCGTGAGCGATGAAAGCCGCTCTTGTGAGCTCTCGGAGCTTCCAGTAAAGAGATGTTTGTGGTGAAGGGCTGAAACGCTCATCAAAACAAACCGTACGGACATGAGAGCGACAGAGAGAGACACGGATGATAATAGCATGTCATAAAACAATCCTCTGCTCATATATTGATCGACAGGTTTTGGAAAATGTTTTAAGCTCAGGTTAAATTGCATGATCGCTCATT